AAGAATATGCATTTAATATAGTTAGGGGGTATCTCAGCATAGATATCTGTAATAATTAGTTATCAGTACATCTGTGTTAATAATTAGGAGAGCGCCCTAGGCTGTAGGGTGCAAAACTCCTACTTCATTCCCTGCCATCCTTCCCCTTGCCACCCTTGTCCCTCGCCCAGACTCACTCTGTTTCTACCGCTCCCAGCTACCTTGCCTGCTGCCTCTCCCTAGTCTCCCACTTCTCTCTCTATCTCTCTCTCTTAACAAGCTATATTCTGCAGTTTTTTTAGTCCGCACTGCACGCCTGAAGCGGTGCTCGCGCATGCGCAATATCTACCAAGCAGAAGAACATTTTACAACAAATATGCATTTAAAATGTAGAGGAGGTATTCTAGCATAGATTTATATGATAAAATTCTACCAGTAGACTTATCTAAAGAAATAGTAAGAATACCTTGCATGTAAGGTCACCGCCGCGTATACCAGTCAGTACCCAAGCTGGCTACGTTAGTGTGTTCGCGCATGTGCAATATCTCACGAGAAGAGTTATATTTTGTGATGAATATACATTTAATATGGTTAGGGGGTATCGCAGCATAGATTTCTGTAATAAATTGTTATCAGTAGACCTGTGTTTATAATTGGAAGAGCGCCCTAGTTTTGGGTTGCAAAGCTCCTATTTCATCCCCTGCCATCCTTTCCTTGCCTACCTTGTCCCTCGCCCAGACTCACTCTGTTTCTACCGCTCCCAGCTATCTTGCATGCTGCCTCTCCCTGGTCTCCCACCTCTCTCGCTCTCTTAGCAAGCTATATTATGCAGTTTATTTTAGTACGCACTGCACGCCTAAAACTGTGCTCGCGCATGCGCAATATCTACCGAGAAGAAGAAAACTTTACAACAAATATGCATTTAAAATGAAGAGGAGGTACTCTAGCATAGATTTATATAATAAAATTCTATCAGTAGACTTATCTAAAGAAATATTAAGAAGACCTTGCATGTAAGGTCACCGCCGCGTATACCAGTCAGTACTCAAGCTGGCTACGTTAGTGTGTACGCGCATGTGCAATATCTCACGAGTGGAATCATATTTTGTGATGAATATACATTTAATATGGTTAGGGGGTATCTCAGCATAGATTTCTGTAATAAATTGTTACCAGTAAACCTGTGTTAATAATTAGGAGAGCGCCCTGGGCTGTAGGGTGCAAAACTCCTACTTCATCCCCTGCCATCCTTCCCTTGTCTACCTTGTCCCTCGCCCACCCTCACCCATCTTCTACCGCCCCCAGCTATCTTGCCTGTTATCTTTCCTCAGTCTCCCATCTCACTCGCTCTCTCAACAAGCTATATTATATGCAGTTTTCTTTAGTCCGCACTGCACGCCTGAAACGGTGCTCGCGCGTGCGCAATATCTACTTAGAAT